GGTGACTGTTGTTCAAGGTGTGTGTAAATCATTACTCACTGCTTTATCGTGTGACCTCACCTCATGTGTGAAAGTATGAATGAAGGGCACAGCAGGCTATCACCATGCAAGTATGCACAGTGTGTATAAAGTAAGCAGCCTTCATGTCTCTTTGCTCTGCTGTCTCTGAGAAAATAAAAACTGGCTGTATATTAGGCATATAAGGAAAGGCACAAGGGATCTTACACATAAAATATATGTAATTTACTTATTTGTTTGACATTTGTATTACATTGGCTACATTTGTGTTATAACTAAAAAGAGGAAGCCATTTTAGAAATAACTAGAAGCAGTTCAAAAGGGGATTGTTTGTTACCCAATGCTGGGTTTGTAATACATAAATATTGTTACTGCTAAAAGTGGCTAATAATCACTGCTGGCAGAATTAAGACGGGCTTTAGAGTTGCCCTTCCCAACTTCACAAAAGTAGCCACTACATGGTCGCTTTGCATACTGTGGACCTACATGCAATACTATAGTTTTATGTTTGTGAGGCAAGAAGACGAGCATAATAATGGTCAGAGGGTCCAATTTTTGAGAGACTCTGGCCTTAAAAAATTATTTATTTTTTTTTAAATAAAAATGATGAAATAGATCTTATATTATATATACCATCACAATCCAAGTATTTGCAATGTGTATAAAGTATGCAGCCTTCATGACTCTGCCTCTTCGAAGTGAAAAGCTGGCTATACTTTAGGCATATAAGGAAAGGCACAAGATATTGATTTATCTTTACCGGATCATTGCCGGATCATTTATAAAATTTACTTATTTGTTTGTCATTTTTATTACATAGACTATAGTCTATAGATTGGTGATTGGTACAAATAATAATAATAAAACTATGTCTGTGTCCTGAACAGATGTACAAAAGGTACTTATCCTGTTTGTATGAGAGTGCCGGAGCCAAGAACTGTGTGGACCCAGGTTTCCAGCTGGAACCCCAGTTTTTACCCAGCAGCACGTCTTACATATTCTTTTAAGTGTCAGTCAGTTAGCTGTTGAACCTTATCCAGTGTTCAAACCCTGGAATGTTTTCTTACAGCTGCCTGGGGCAGAATGGTGAATACTCCCAGACTGGTCTTAGCTTGAAACTGTTGAAAGTAATTTAGATATTTATTTCTTTGTTACTGTGAAAATAATAGTGGGCCAGTAGAAAACATGTTTGACTTATGTATATAGAGTTCCACCTACAATATCGTGAATGCTAATATTATACTAATGATAAAACTTGCACCATGTCCAATGCTGTGAAGTGGACAGTACCATATCAGCAGAGCAATAACATAGGCTAATGCACAGCAGAGTAGGCCTATAGGGCAGGGAAGATTTTTTATAATAAGTATTATAAGTATTATAATTTATTCTCATTAAATTACAGCTTTATTCTTTAATTATTATGCATTTTCGTCAAAATATCATGGCTTTATTCTCAATATGTTTGGCCTACGGGACATGTGTAAAAATGCATGTCCCAAACTTTAACCATATCTGTCAGTATGTTTCATTTTATTATTTTTCTCATGTTCTACCATAATCTGTACATCTTGAGAGTCTGATATATGGTAAATAAAATGATTGGTAGAATTGTGTTTGTCTACAGTTAAAAGTTAAAACTGAAACATAAAAGACACAAAAACACACATGTTCAAAGTTTGAGCAAATGGCAGAATGCCATGAAATTAACACTTCGAGGGTCTGAGGCTTTACCTTCCATTCAACAGTTTTTTAGGGGCAGGACATAAACAATGGAACCTCATTTCATTGGCTTAACTGTAGTCACATGCAAATGTGATGTCAGAGAAGAGGCAGCCTCATTTCTAAACTCCACACAAGCTCCAGTGAGCGAGCAGAGACACACTAGAATCACGATCTTCTCCTCCTTTACAGTATGATGTCTACAGTCTGAAAATGAATTGTGCAAGGTAAGCTACTGTGCTTTCATTCAACTAATTTTACTGCAACTTTACTGATCTTTTGGCAATCACGTTAATATTACTTGTCAGTTATCAGAGAATGTAAAAGTATAATTATGCTAAACAATAAATATGTGCAACCATTCCTTCTAACGCTACATCTCATTTTAACCCCATCATGTCTTCATTCTCAGAGTTCTTCATGCATTTGGTAGTCACCCCCAGCCAGCTGTGATGCCGGTCGACCTTGCTATGTGTCTGAGCCTCAGCCAGACTCAGCCTCTTTATCAACTGCTGTCCATGTCTCCTCTGAAACCCACACAGCGTCGTTGTCAGCCCACTGACTGTCCGCGGAGGGCCAGCCTTTGCTCTCCGAATCACTCCTCTTCTTCCCCCTACTCATCCTCATTGCTGCCATACTCCCTTGTGCCCTCTGGGCCTCGGAGCTGTTTCCGCAGGGACAGCGGAGGTCTGAACAAGAAGCGTGTGGTGTTTGCAGATGCCAAGGGACTGGCTCTCACTGCTGTGCGTCTATTTATCCCTGAGCCCTGTTCCCCTGCTTCTACTCTGGTGATGAATCCCTCCCCAACCAAACTGCAAAGTCAGCAGTCAACCTCAAACAAACTGCAGCGCTACAAGATGCGTCTGGGCTTCCCTCCGCCAACGCTGGACTTTAATGCCTTCCTTGCTCGTCTGCGAGAGATGCGCGTACAGTTGGAAAGCTGCAACATATCAGAGCACTCTTTGAGTGGCAAAGTGCGTGTCTCCCATGTCAGTATGGAAAACACTGTGCAGATAAGGGTGACCTTTGACTCTTGGCGGAGCCATCATGACATTCCCTGCACATTCCTGCAGCAGCAGCGCTGTGGGGGTTCTGATATGGATGTTTTCGCCTTTGACTTAAGCTTACCAAAGAACATAGATCCAAAGAATGGAGTTGAGTTTTGTGTGTCCCTCAGGCCTGGACCTGGCGCAATGACACACTGGGACAACAACAAGGGGCAGAACTACAGGGTGTGCGTGGAAAAAGATGGCACAAACGCTAACCAAGGCAATGCTAAAAAATTTTACTCCACACTTTCAAAGCATCGGCTAACCTCCTGGCCTTCACATGTGCCCTTCAGTATGCAGAACTCTGCTGATCTACAGTATCTTCAGAGGAGTTTGTCAAGCGGAGTCAGAGCAGAGATGAACACTGTGTTCAACTTAGTAGACATGAAATGAGCCCTTAACCTCTTAACAGAGGTGTGAAAATATGTAAATAATGTGAATCTTAATGAACAAATATTTAAGCGAGAGTTAGTGCTTTTATTGATGTATGGACTTTCTGAAATCTCCAGTGTTGGATGTTCTCAGACCAGTTGTTCAATAACAGCTCGCCCACCTGAGCTCAACTACCCTGCTGATATGTGAATAATATATACTGCATTAATGTTCTAATTAAATCTTTTAAAGCTCTCTCTTTTCTTCCCACTGTAGAAGATAAATCATTTAGCACGAGCCTGTTTACTTTATGTAGCTTAAGATTTACTGCACTACGATGTGAATTTGTGCATTGTAGCACGACACATAAGCCTTGAGTAAGATACCGGGGCCCTGGAGGGAAAGTGAAAACATGAGACTCACACTTGTCTGAAAGAAAAGATATTATGATTATGTTGTTCTAAGACCCCTTTGAACTTACAGCTACCAACCCATTTTCTCCACGTGAATGAACACATCAATGTCTTATGCTCATGATATACTTTCACACAGACATCATGTCTCTTGGCTCAGGCTCAGATTTCTGATGTGTCATCGGCATGCCAAACAGAGTAAGTCAACTAACTGAAAGATCTTCTTGGCAAAGTGGCCCGCATGGTTTGCATGGGAGAGCCTGTTCTAGACACTCCCCTACCTGCTGTGGAAAGTGGAATAACATGCTGGGAATTGTTACTTCTTGTACTGTACATGATTGGTATGGCAAACAGCAAGTAACCATGGCAGCACCAGGGCCAGCATGTACTTTGGATAATGTGTGGGCTTTTGTTTACATACAGAACTAGGGTGGAGTCATCATTAGATTCTCTCCCTCTGCTTCTCTTGTTCCGCTCCTTCTTAGTCACCTCTCTGTTAAACTTGTTTCTTTGTCCTTTACTGTCTTTTCTCTCAGGCTAATGTCCTCCCAGGACTACTGCCATTGTAAATTGCCACAGCTGAGTGATATTATCTGGAATGTAGCATGTGAGCGGTTCGCACATGTAGTTGGTATACACACCTTATACCTAAAAGCACTCATTTATTTATAAGACTCAACAGTGTTGGGCTGGTGTCAGGTGTTAGATCTTTCCCCTCTAAACATCCAATGAAAGATGAACTGAACAAAATCATAGGACAAGTTTAGCTCAACAAGTTTGTCATTTAGGGGGAGATGCAACCAAAGCTGTAGAAGAAGTACTCCGATCCTTTACTTAAGTAAAAGTAGAAATGCCTTGGTCTAATGATACTCCATTAGAAGCAAAAGTCCCAAATTCAGAATGTTACTTCAGTAAAGGTACAGAAGTATTGTCAGCAAAAGGGACTTTTAGTATCAAAAGTAAAAATAAATAAAACCTCATTACGCAGAAAATCGTATTAAATTATTCTGTTTTTAACACTAACAAATACATGTATGAGCACTTTAATATTGTCAATGTGGAGCCAAGTTTAGATCATTTGTATACTACAGGGTAAATGTTATATGGTCTACATATTTAGCTAAGTTCAGTTATAGATAGCAAATGAGTTGTGTTAATATTGACACACTAATTACAGTTTATAAGGTTTCAAATTTTCAAAATAAGTATTAAAAAGAAATAAAAAGGCTATCGACTTGCTTACGTTTATGTACAAATAAATGATAAAAGTAATATTACAAACTGTTAATGTATGGTCCACATTATGAAAGGCTCTACAAAGTAAGAGCCTTCAGAACAAGTCAGTGACTGTTTTATAAAACAAAACAAAAAACACTGTAATACAATATAATGTTCTCATTAATTTACTAGAAATGAAACAGAAGTGGTCATTTCTAAGCAAATGCATTTTTATTATCTGATTATATGCAAATATTACATAACAGGACATTCACAGAAAGTATACTGGGACAGCTGACACACACAAAACATCTCGTCTGTGTCTAAACCACGCTGCACTACTGATTTCACCCTGCAAACTTGGAAATTTGAAAAGTTGGACCATAGTGCCCTCTATGGTAACTTACGCAAAATGAGAGAGGGTGAATATAACTAATAAGCCAAGGATCTACTGCAAAATGACAAAATGATCCGTCACTTGTCATGGATGTTTCATGTTGAAGCATAAATTCCTTATTTGATACAGCTCTTTGGACTTTACTGACAGCGGTCGCTGGGCAGGTGCTCGTGCTCAGGGATCCAAGGTGATACGGCAAAACACTCTGCGGCCTTCCTGTCACACTCACAGATGAACATCTCACATTCGTTGTTTTTGTCTGAAGATGATAAAGTAGATTAGTAGAAATAGTAGTAGAAATCTTTACCAAATTGCTACGAACCACTGTGAATTAAAAAATACTAGAAGCAATAATATTAATTTGATTTTAAAAGTAACAATTTTCTCTGTATTGATGTTGAATTTCATTCCTTCTACATTTATCTGCGACGTTTATAAGATGAAGTGAGCAGAATTATTCCTTTGTTTTGGTGTACTCACTGCCACAGGTGACCTTCTTATTTTCCTTGTCACAGCTGTAGTCATAGAACTCAGTGTAAGGGTTGTCGAGGATGGGCCAGCACTCAGGGTGTTGCATAGCATCATTGTAACACTTGTCGTGCACTTCACAGCACCTACAGGCCAAAAAGTCAGAAAAGACACATTTTGAAACAGACTGGACAAGGTTTTTGTTTAGGTAGTCTGAGAATCAATCATGACTTGATCATGACCTATCCAGATCATCAACAGGTGTGCCAGAGCCTCCTTTTCCACAGTAGCAGCCATAGTCGGAGTAGTCAAAAACAGGCCAGCTATCAGGCATCACACACAGGATCATCCTTCTAAACTGGGTGAGTGCCTTGTAGTCCAGGGACTGGGCTAAAACGCAACAAGCACAATCGTGATTATATTTAAACTCTACTAGAAGATGGATCTGTCCACGACCATCATGCGTGCAGATGAGCAGATTTGTTAAGTTGTACTCACCAGCAGAGAGGCTTGCAGCCAAGAGAAATAGAACCTGGAAGGTATTCATTCTGTCAAGTCAGAAGTCACATAGGATCTCTCACTAACATCAGGCTTTATATATGAAGTATGGGACCTTGGGTTCTACCCTATCAGCTGTTCATACTATTTAGGATCACATGTCCCAGACTCTGAGATTCAAACCGAAACAACCATATGTAAAAGAAAGTAAAAATTCCCACGCTCTGTGAACATTTCTGAAGTCTTTGCCTTGTTGTTAATGTGTTTGATGTTCTGCCTAAACTAAAGTTGCTCAGCCTTGAAGTTGTAGATCATTCCAATTAAATTCAATTCAATTTCAATTCAATTCAGCTTTATTGGCATGAACGTAGTAAGACAAACATTAAAAATAAAAATAAATAAAACTGTAAGCGTGTGTGTGTGTGTTGTGAATTCAATTCATATGGTTCATCACGTAAATAAAACAGTAAACGTGTGTGTGTGTGTGTGTGTGTGTGTGTGTGTGTGTGTACATATATATTTATTAATAGACAAAACACAAAACTAAAACATCTGTGTCAATTGTGAAATAAAAAAAAAACAAGTAAAGGAACAATTATTAAAATTACAAACAATGAAAATAATAATAAGTACAATTATTTAATATATTTAGTCTATTCTGAGTTTCCACTGGTTGTCCTCAGTTCATGGCATGAGGAGACATTCTTTGCTGCAATGATTTGGCATTTTGGCATTTCTCCTAAGTGTGTCTGATAGAAATTTGAATTTGGGGTATATTTGGGAAATGTTTGTGAATTGTTTTTCTCCTAATGTTTTATATTTAGGGCATGAGGTTAGAAAGTGCAGCTCTATAGTTTAGTGGTGTTTAAATAGAAATTGTGTGAAACCTGATTTCTGTATTGTTTCTGAAAGATCATTATCTTAGTCTTTGCTGTGTTTACAGTCAGGCCCCAGGTCTGACAGAATCTCTGCAGGAGATTAAGATGCTGTTGCAAACCTTCTTTAGTAGGTGAAAGCAACACTAAGTCATCTGCATACAGCATTGATACATCACTAATTCATTGATAAATGGATTAAAGAGAATTGGACTGAGATTGCACCCCTGCCTCACTCCCCGGCCCTGGGAGAAGAACACTGTTTGTTTGTTTCCAGTCTTTATGGCACATTCACTTTTTGTATACATGTTCTTAATTAAATCATATGTTTTTCCCCCCAATGCCACTTTCACATAGCATATAGAAAAGGCCAGATGGAATCAAAGGCTTTTTTGGAAGTCAACAAAACAGGCATGTACCTTCCTTTTCTTAATGTTTAATTCTTGATCAATTAAAGTCTGGAGGTTAAATATATGGTCCGTCGTGCGGCAATTTGCAAGAAACCAATTTAGCATTTATGCAAAATATTGTGGTCATCAATAAAGTTGACAGTTTATTAATGATGTTGCAGGATATTTTTCCCAGGTTACTGGAGACACATATTCCTCTATTGAATAGTTTTAGTATAGCCAATCTGATTTATTGAGTATTTGATCATTTCACTGAGGATTCCATCAATACCAAAAGCCTTTTTTCCTTTCAGGGACTGGATGACTTCTGTTAATTCTTGTTCTGTTACAGGGTAATCTAGAGGCTTTTGGTTGTTTTTTATCACCGCCTCCAGAGTTTTCCATTTGGTGAATATCTTGCACTGATCATCATTTTTTGTAATATTACTGTATAAAGTATTTCCATCTTAGATTGCCAATTCATCCTGCTGGGTTTTTCAGGTTGTTCCATTCCTCCCAGAACTAGTTGAATTCTAAAGATTCCTCAGTTTCACAGAGCTGCTTCTTGTTGTGTTGTTCTTTCTTTGTTTTCTGGGTCCCTATGCTTTTCATTTGAGGTTTTTATATTCAGTGTCAAACCATTTATTATTGGTCAGTTTGGAGACTTTCAAATTAGACATTAGAGCCAAATGATGAAACATTTAATTGAATTTGTCCATAGCATAATTTATACCAGAAATATTATGGGGAAATGTTTCAGTTAGAAACAAATTAGTTAAATCATGTATGTTTTGATTGATTTGTCTTTTGGTACGTCCCCATGCTTTCTGGGGTCCATCTATATGAGTATGTGCTGTTAAACAGTTCACAGGCACTAGCGGCTCCAGAGTCGAACTGTGCCATTTTCAGATAAATTGTGATTTTGCTGTGGTCTGAGAGGGGTGTGAGGGGGCTGACTGTGAAAGCTCTGAGAGACGTTGGATCTAGATCTGTAATGATATAATCTACCGTACTACTGCCAAGAGCTGAGCTGTAAGTGTGGCGACCCAGAGATGGAGGCATATAGATGGCACACTTGTAGACATGTTGCTCAGCACAAATCATCGTTTTCGTGCCTCCTGAATCTTTGCCTTGGGTTATTATTATTGTGGGATTTTTTGTTGATGGTATAATAAACTCAGTGTACCCGTGAGGACGACCAGTAGAAGCATCTTCTCTGCACCTTGTCTCCTGTAAAACAATGACGTCAGAGTCTTTAAATCTGAATTTCTGCTCTTTAAAAAAATAATATTAAACTAGATACAGTTTAATATTAGTGGCTCTTGTCACCGTTGCAGCATAGTTCAGTCCAATAGGCTGCTGCTCCATTCAAATATGAAAACTTTCCACATCTTTCGTCTTATTATTCAACTTTCAAATCCTATTAAAACTTTTCAAGCTATTCAACTGTCTGTGAAACCTCATTATAATGACCGTCAATGAGAAAATCCTTCAAACACACTGATCTTCAACCTCTTTGTGTCTTTCAGCTAAAAACTACATTCAAACCTTAAAATGTTCTACATTTATTAGTGCAATTTGAAGTTTATTCAACTTTAAAATCTGATTCATATTTAGAACATTTCCCATGTTTCCAAGTTTTCATGGTCCTTCAGCTACTTCATGCAAATTAAAGCCAGCAATGCAGTTTAGCGTCAGCTTTTCAACAATCCTTAAAACATTGCACATCTCTCATACATTTGTTCGATTCACCCTTTTTCAAGCTAGCAGTTCAGTTTAGCGTCAGCTTTTGAACAAAACCTTCCCAATCTTTCATACATTAGTACTATTCAAATTTGTTCAAGACAGCAATTCAGTTTAGCGCAAGCCTTTCAAAAATCCTTAAAACAATGCACATCTTTCATACCTTTTTTACTATTTAACTTTTTTCAAGACAGCAATTCAATTTAGCGCAAGCCCTTCAACAGCCAGCATTCACACCGCAATCTCTTCAGAAACTGCTTTTCCAGTTATTATTATTCTTTCACTCATTTTTTTTGCAACGTAACTCGTTCCACATCTTTCAAACTACAAACGTCATTCAAAGATTAAAATATTCAACTCAATTAGGATATTATTGCTACTCATTGCTGGATTAACAGGGGAGGGGGTATTACATATACAAATGTTTTGTCAATTTTTGTTTTTAACTGAATCATTCTTGCGCCTGTCGGACATAAGAATTTGTAAATGGAATTTATAAATAAAATAAACTTTCTCTCTCCACATGAACAGGCCCTCTCCTACTTGCTCTGGATGGGTGCTGGGGGTGTGACCTCCAACAGACAGCTTCCTCCCAAGTGTAAATATTTGCAAATATTAGTAAAGACTGGGGGAAAAAGAAAATACAAAGGACACACGAAACAAGAAAATTCAGATTTCAGATTCTCTCTCTAAAGGCTACAACCACATTGAGTTTTGCACTGATAAAGATTTTATATCTTGTTATTGATTTAAATTGATGTACACTATATTACTGCTTTGATTTTATGTCTTCATACATTGCTAGTTGTTTTTAGCAAATAAAAATAAACAAAATATTATTAGTACTATTATCATTAGTGGTAACAGTAGTAGTAGTAGTAATATTAAAATTGCCAGCGGGGGCTGGAACCTGTATGTCACTGGCTACCTCAAGCTAAGGTGACCAGATTTCTGAAATGAAAACCGGGGACGTTTTTGGTTTGGTGGTCAGTATGTCATTAAAAATGTAATGCATATGTAATTGTAATATAATTGTTCAGTTTTATAATCTGTCAAATATAACTCTTCTGAATGAAATTCAAGTCATTTTGAGCCAGAATATACCTTTCAGTCAATAAGTAGAAGCTGCAATCATTTTTTGGCAAGTGAAATATTGCATTTTATGAGTTGTTTAAAGGTATTTCAACAGGTAAAAAGGACTGGATTGCTCAGTACACAGCAAGTTAAATAATGTATAGTCATAAGGCATCGCAAAAGAGATCATGTCTTTATTAGATATATAACTCAGCAGTAAGTCATGTTAATTATAGGCTACAGTCCGTTTTCCAAATATAAACAAGGATATTAGACGTAAGCCTACCAAACATATTCCATCGGCAAAAACAGGCTTCTATTATTGCCTATAATCACGTAAACGTCCAGCCTGGTTACGCTAGCAAACACTTATATGGCTACTGAATTGTGATTATTCCATTAAAAGAAACGTTAAAGTTTCACAGATATACCTTTGCAATACCACGGACATAAAGTGATGTTTATTTAGTCTGTTAATATCTTAAACAGTCTATGATTAGCACACAGTTAAAAACGGGAACATTTCCGTGGACAGCTCCAGACGAGGACAGGGCACCAAAACTGGGGACGTCTGGTCACCCTACCTCAAGCCCCATTCACACGACTGCGTTTTCGTTTTAAAACGGAGACCTTTTGCTACGTTTGCACCTCCTGTCCAGACTAAAAGGGAAAAAACGAAGACCTAAAACGCAGAAGTTTGAAAATGCTGCCGACCCTATTTTTTCTTTTTAAAACCCCAGGTAGCATTTCAGTGGGGATGGGCAAAAATGGAGGACTTTAGAAACGATGACGCAGACACTCACATTTGGTTCTCTGATTGGGTCTTATTAGTTATGCAAAGCAGAAACACAATGCCACTGACAGAGTTTTTGATTTGGTATTTTTATTAAAATATTTTATAGCCTACACTTTGTATACTACTGTGTATGTCTGTGTATTTACTTTGCGACGACTCCCAGTCTGTTTTCCGCTGCCAGTCGCTTTTAACTCCCATGTTACACTCAGTAACAGTCCAAGCTTGTTATGGGTCCATGACAAAAAAATATCTGGAACGGTTCTTTGTCTGTAGTACTTTATTCTTTCATCAAATCTTCTGTAACTACGGAAGAGAGAGACAGTCTGCTTCATGTTTACACCGGCACACGCATGCCCAGTGTATGTGAACGGCCACTAGCTGCGTTTAAAGTTGTTTTAATGTAGATGGAGTTCAACTCTGACACGCAGCTAAAACGCTGGTGTGGATGGAGATCGTATTCGTTTTAAAACTGTTTTTAAACAAAAACGGAGTAGTGTGGATGGGGCCTCAGAGTTTATCCTGAGGAATGCATACAATGACAACTCCATGCAGAAGAGAAGACCTGGCAGTTCAGTGGCTGGACCACGCCTACTGGTCAATCCCGCACAAACTATTGGAAACTCCACTGGACCGACAGCATGTTCCAGGAACAGATCAGGACTATCAGCCTAAGAGTCACCTCTGGAACACCTGAATGGCATCATCTGGAGAAGGGCATTATCACTGGATGCATCCTTTCAGTGCTATTGTTCACTTTGGTCATGAACATATTGGTCAAGTCAGGGCATTGGATGACAAGATGGTGACAACAACACCTGTACTAGGCTGCATATAGGCCTTGAGTGACTCAACATAACCGGATGGACCTCTAGTAAGCCAAGTTTATATAGTTATTTGGTCTTTACCGACAGCGATTGCTGGACAGGTGCTCGTGCTCAGGGATCCACGGTGAACTGGCAAAACACTCCGCGGCCTTCCTGTCATACTCACAGATGAACATCTCACATGTGTCATTTTTGTCTGAAGATGATAAAGCAGAGAGAACTCTTTTTACCAAAAGGCCAACCACCATTCCTATAAATAACTTATTATAATAACTGAGAATATTATCAATTTTATTATACTATCTTACTGAAGGTTTACGGACAAGTTTATAAGATCAAGTGAGCAGGAAAATTCCTTTGTTTGGGTGTACTTACTGCCACAGGTGACCTTCCTATTTTCCTTGTTGTAGTCATAGAATTCATAGAACAGCTGTAGTCATAGAATTCGATGTAAGGATTGTCGAAGATGGGCCAGCATTCAGGGTGTTGCGTAGCATCAACGTAACACTGGTCATGCACTTGCCAGCACCTACGGGTCAAAAAGTCAGACAAGACAAAATCTGAAACAAACTGGACAAGGTTTATTTCATCACCTGAGAATGTATGAATGAATCATGACCTATCCAGATCACCAACAGGTGTTCTTCTGAGTTTAGTGACCTCAACTGGCCTGCGCACAGCCTCGAACTCATCCGTATCCAACGCCTTGGGAATGAACTGGAATGCTGACTGCAAGCTAGCGTGACCGACCTCACTAATGCTCTTATGCCTGAATGGGACAAAATCTCTGCAGCCAGGTTCCAAAATCTTACATTGCATTGCAATTATTTAGCTTTTATCCAAAAGTGACTTAAGTACATTCAACCAAACTTGCATCAACTTCATCAAACATGCTAACTGTTTAAAGTGCTAAATAAAGAAACCTTTATGGGCCAAGGTGCAGTCTGTCAGAAGAGGTGTAGAGTTTCTGCTGTCCTGATGTCAATGGGGAGCTCGTTCCACCGTTGTGAAGCCAGGACTGCAAACAGTAGCTGGGCCCCCTCATAGTGAAGGAATAGCAAGCCGATTGGCAGTAGCAGAGCGTAGTGGACAGGCTGGGGATGTGGGATGGGCCTGATCCATTTGCATCACAGTAGGCAAGTATCAGTGTGTTGAATCAGGTTTGAGTAGCGGCCGGTAGCCAATGCATGGAGCGGAGGAGTGGTGTAGCGTGGGAGAACTTGAGTAGCTTGACCAGCCGAGGCGCTGCATTCTGGATGAGATGCAGAGGTGGGATGGTACATGCAGATCTTGTGTAAAGTCTGCTCAGAAGAGTGGAGGCCGATATAGCAGCAGCTTCTTTTGCAATGTTTAACAACCTCCTATGGGTGTAATGTTTGCATTTCCACATGCTTTTGTGTATTTCATAATTATTTGTTTGTTGAATTCTAAATTTACTCAAGATTTTACAGTTACTGGTAAATAAGAGATATCTGGAATGAGAGGTATGGACTCGAATCACACGAGACACAAATATGACTTTAGACTCCACCAATCAACATTTGCAAATCGATTTTATTATCATTATTATATTCCATCTTGGGTTAATTAATAGAGCCGAGGTTGCAGGCATGATCATTCAATTGTCACCTGACGCACGTTAAAGCATATAGGCCTTCAACTTGCACCAACTTTAGTGTTTTCGATATATACTTTACTTGGGTAGCCAGCCAGGTATATTAGCACCTGCCAAAGTATATTTGGCAACACACTTAAGCATTTTGCAGAGAAATACAGCGAGAGATGTTATCTGATATTAGCCTACATTAAGCAGACATGGTAGAAATTTTACATTATGGAGCGACAGTAAACGCACCACTGCAGATCCGCGACACGGGGCTGTAGACTTTTGTTGCGATTTCGGTCTTTGTTTCAGAACCATTACCCTAGAGCCATGGTATGATCAAAAATCAAACAAACTACATAGGAATTTGTAACTTAATCTTTAATACAAATGTCTCAAAATGGAAAATGTGTACACACAAAATGGGTCAAAGGGTCAACAGCATTTCCTAAAGACACTGCAATTTATTTGAAAGTCCAGCATTTCCGCATCGATAAATCATTACCATGTTAATTACACAACAGCATAAGTAACACAAACAAATGAGACCGTCACTGAGGAGATTGTCAGCCTCTACTGGCCCGTAGCATAGAACACAAAAAATGGCCTCATTTGTTCAATTGTACAATTATACCAAAATACCATATTTGACAATGACACATTGATGTAAATAGATGCTACAAGTCATTTTTATCTTAAAACACATACCAATCCTTCAGGCTTCATTAAACAGATACAGACCAGTAACAGTACAGACACATACGTTAAACATAACAAACATCACTAGTAGTCACATGAATGCTATGCTGGTCCCTTCATCAGTGTTGTGGTTCTTCAAGCCAGTGCTGGTCACATGACTGTTTTTTTCACTCTCAAATATTGTCAACTAGGGATGCGCCGAAATGAAAATTCTTGGCCGAAGCCGAAACTTAATATAATGAAAAAATTTGCCAAATACCGAACAAGTAAATTTACAATTTTTCCATTTATTTTGTCTTTTTTTACCATTGCATAAATTAAATAGTCAACATGTGCTTTTTACTCAGTGTTTCCCACAGGATTTGGAGAGACTATGGTGGTGGGTCCGGTAAAGTAAATTACATGTGTCCGATTTCTTTTATTGGACACATAAATTTGATACATAATGTTGTATGTGGTTCTTAACGTAACGCGTAAAATGAAGACTTAATAGCCTCTCTTGCAACACCTGTCTTTGTAAAGAGAGAAAATGCTGGCACTGGTCCGTTTCAGTGGATTTACCATAAAGTCTTGAATATGTGTGCACTCCAATTTTAGGTGCAGCTAGCTTAATTGCCTTCTCAGAAACGAGTGACAAACACTCAAACTGGTCCAGACCGTTTGTTGGCTTTTCTAAGAAGTCAGCCACAGATAAGGTGGATGTGCTAGGAGACAATTCAGCAGAACAGTGTCTGCAAACGGCGATTTTTGGACCAGTTAATTTCGGTGGCCGAACATTCGGTACATCCCTATTGTCAACATTTTGTTTCCTATAATGTCTTTTTTCATCAACCATGAATTCTTCTGAATCACTTTAAAGAAACTGGCGCTTCTACTAAAGATTGGCAATGTCCCACAGCACAAACCAATGACGCCATACTGACTGAACCAACCGGGAAAAACTATCTGGTGTAACTCTTAATATTCACCCTAAGAAAGAAAGAGAACTATGTTGTGCAAAGGTATGTCAGTATGAAGACCACTAAACCAACTGAGACGTTGAAAAGGGTACGCATTACTCTTCTGATACATTGTCGTGCTCTAAGTGTACATACATTGTATGCATAGCCTACTTTAAATATAAATGTTTATTATCGTAGTGCAAAACTAAAGTTCATTTCTCAAAAAAGAATAAATTGTTATGGTTTTGGTCATAACTACATTGTCTTAATCCTGACTAACAATCTGCTTTTGTCTAAGTCTTGACCACAACACTGCAACTAACTACAGAAGAGCTTTTTTGAGAACAAAACAAACCACATCATGAACCAAAGTAGAAAAAAAAAAAGACATTACTGAAGACTTCACAAATTACAGAAAATTTCTACTGTGTTCTGTGTGATTACTTGATAAATAAACTACCTTGATCGCTAAATAAAACTTAACATTTTCTCAAGATAAACAGGCAAATGAAATCAGTGGAAACTACTGCAGTGCATTTTATTTTTTTCCTTCTTTGACCTTAACATTCACATTCTTGATTGTACCGCTGTTGTCTTCTTAATGGAAAACCCTACAGCAACATCACATATCTGAGGACTTTCAGTCAGATTTTCCCACGATTACCAATCCTCTGTTTTGATCACACACGTCATAGTGTCCTACCTCATTATTATTGCCTCTCTATGTCTACTAAGCAAAGCTAGTGTTGTTGAAAACTACTAGAGGGCAATCGGTGAACAAATAAAGGCAGATTATGTAGGATTGGAGTGACTGAGTGACATTTATCATCCTAAACAGAAGTGTACACTAACTGGATAAACAGTGAGCGTACACGATATAATTTCAGAGCTGTTAGCCTCTTATTAGCCTTAGGTTAATCTAAGATTCTCACTCAGGTGACTGCTGGTTTTTCTCGAGTTTGGGTAAAGAATACAAGTGGCCACGCATTGACTTGGGCCCTGTGTGTTAAAGGTTCAGGATGGATAAAGTAATGTTTAAAGGACCTTTGTACCACTTGAAATGGAATAACAGGTGAAACTCTGTTATGGAAAAGATATGTTGTGCCCCCAGTGTCCAGTTAACACACTCAGACAGGATTAAAAAGTCAAGTCTTCGCTCAGATGGGCTTATATAGTAAGGTGGTGACATACTTCTTCTTGTAGCGATGTGTCGCACTGAGCACCATCACTCCATCCTGTGGCAGAAAAAGGAAAAATTCACTTAAAAATCTCACCCTTTCTAAACAGTGAAAGGCATGCTTACAGCTTAAGATACAGTATCTCACAAAAGTGAGTACACCCCTCACATTTTTGTAAATATTTGATTATATCTTTTCATGTGACAACACTTAAGAAATGACTTTGCTACAATGTAAAGTAGTGAGAGTACAGCTTGTATAACTGTGTAAATTTGCTGTCTCCTCAAAAAAAACACATCACACAGCCATTAATGTCTGACTCGTTAGTGTAACAAGGTCTCAGGTGTGAATGGGGAGCAGGTATGTTAAATTTGGCGTTATCGCTCTCACACTCCCACATGGCACCTCATGGCAAAGAACTCTCTGAAGATCTGAAAAAAAGAACGGTTGCTCTTCATAAAGACGGCCTAGGCTATAAGAAGATTGCCAAGACCCTGAAACTGAGCTGCAGCACCGTGGCCAAGACCATACAGTGGTTCAACAGGACAGGTTCCACTCAGAACAGGCCTCGCCATGGTCAACCAAAAAATTTGAGTGCACATGCTCAGCGTCATATCTAGAGGTATCTACGAGTGCTGCCAGCATTGCTGCAGAGGTTGAAGACCATACACCGCACACTGCATCAAATTAGTCTGCACGGCTGTCGGCCCAGAAGGAGGCTTCTTCTAAAGATGATGCACCAGACAGCCCGCAAACAGTTGGCTGAAGACAAGCAGACTAAGGACATGGATTACTGGAACCATGTCCTGTGGTCTGATGAAACCAAGATAAACTTATTTGGTTCAGATGGTGTCAAGCATGTGTGGCAGCAACCAGGTGAGGAGTACAAAGACAAGTGTGTCCTGCCTACAGTCAAACATAGTGGTGGGAGTGCCATGGTCTGGGGCTGCATGAGTGGTAGAGAGCTAGAGTTCATTGAGGGAACCATGAATGCCAACATGTACTGTGACATACTGAAGCAGAGCATGATCCCCTCCCTTCAGTATTCCTACATGACAACAACCTCAAACACACCTCCAAGACAACCACTGCCTTGCTAAAGAAGCTGAGGGTAAAGCTGATGGTCTGGCCAAGCATGTCTCCAGACCTAAACCCTATTAAGCATCTGTGAGGCATCCTCAAACAGAAGGGGGAGGAGCGCAAGGTCTCTAACATCCCCCAGCACTGTGATGTCATCATGGAGGAGAGGAAGAGGACTCCAGGGGCAACCTGTGAAATTCTGGTGAACAGGGTTAAGGCAGTTCTGGAAAATAATGGTGGCCACACAAAATATTGACACTTTGGGCCCAGTTTGGACATTTTCACTTAGGGGGTGTTCTCACATTTGTTGTCAGAGGTTTAGACATTAATGGCTGTGTGATGTGTTTTTTTTGAGGAGACAGCAAAGCAAATTTACACAGTTATACAAGCTGTACTCTCACTACTTTACATTGTAGCAAAGTGTCATTTCTTCAGTGTCACATGAAAAGATATAATCAAATATTTACAAAAATGTGAGGGTTGTACTTTTGTGAGATACTGTACATGTGGGCCAATGGGAACAGTGGTATCATACCATGTGCTGTGTCACCATACTGTAATCCATAGAGATTAGTGGGAGGGCCACACATTAATCTCAACGACCAGCTCCACTCACTAATCCTCATGCACAATCTCCACTACTATACTACTGTTATTTTCAGAGAGACTCGTCTGTTGTGCTGTGAATGCTGCAATAGAGTCTGCTGCTGTTAAGCAACCATAAATGTATACCAAAGACTTCCTGTTGCTGCTTTACAGTGAAGGATGGGTTGGCAAGTCTCATTTAAACTTCAAATACTTTTTAGCAGAAAACAAGGACTGTAGTTTTTGTCCCCACCTCTTGTATTGCAACCTTTTAGGAAGAGATCTTTTAACAGCCAGCAGGATGAACAGGAGGAAGGGTTACAGAAAGCAAACATTGTTTGACTGTACAGTTGTGTATGGGAGTGTTATTTTAAAGCGAGACTTGAAAAAAAAATGCAAACCTATCCTTTAAAAGATCTTTCACCAGTGAACCACTGGAGGGCTTTAATTGTGAAGCAGCTGCAGAAGGTGTGGCCTTATTGATAGTTGAAAAGTAAATTGTTTGAGAAAATGATCTACTCTGAAATATGGCATTTTCTGTGCATTGCAACTGCCAATTAATGATTATATGAAGCGCTACAGGTGACGTGATGAACCTTAAACTTTCCGACATGTTATTAACTCTTGCTTCAAAAGTTTGGCGTGACTGAGGAGGTGATGCTGCACTTTCATAGGGAGACCATCCTCGCCTTATCAGTCACAGCGTGGTATGGCAACACAACTGCCCTTGAGAGGGGGCATTTTGAAACAATGGTATGCACAGTGTCTAAGAACACTGGCTGTCACCTTCCTGCTGTCTCCTCCATATATGCCACACATATCACATGCAAGGCGCAGAAGGTGATCGCCGGCCCCTCTCACCCTCTCAAAACCCCTAACCTCGGGAAGGAGATTCCTGAGTCTTAAGTGCTGCACATCTCACCTCAGGAACAGCACATATCCTGAGGCTGTTTGATACTTGAACTCTGACGCACAAGTAGAGCAAGCAAGCCAACTAGATGTTTAAAAATAGGTAGGTGGCAGCAGCATAGAGCAATAAGCACCATGAAATGAATGTAGCAGACAAAGCACTTTAGGACGTCTATGTTTGAATGTATGAATGTAGGGCTGCATCTAATGATTAGTTTTTAAATTGATTAATCTAGTCTAGTCTAACATTTTTTCAATTAGTAAACTAATTTATCATTCTAAACATATTTTTTTTTACTTCTCAGTTTATATAACAAAGAATTTATCCAAAATAAATATCAAAAACTTGTCTCATTAATATCTCAACATTTTATTCAATCACCCTGAAAAGAGACACATAAAGCACATTAGAATAATAAGGTCTAATTTCCCAGTCATTGATGTATTATAATATTAGGAATAAAAGACCTTATTTTTCAGATGCTAGATCACAAAAATACTGGACCTCAAATTCAAAAGTATTGCTGTGACACATAAATATCTATTTATGTCAACCTTCTTGTGAACTGGAGAATCAGTATTTTTACTGAAGTACTTGATTTTTAAAACTTAAAATGGTTCTGACATGGATCACTTGAGTTGTATGCATGTAAGAAAATCACTGGCAAATGTATTGTTGCATCAGTGTGGAGCAAAGACAATAACTGAAATAATATACAGACTGTATAGACATACTCAGAGTGTAAGAAACGTTTGTTTTACTCTTCCCACAAGCCATCACTCTGATGAACAGCTGACTCTGACTCACAATGTCAGGAACCATTCCTGTGCAATAACCCAGTAACTCTGCTACCTGTTTACTGGCTACCACTTACCAGTTATTCATCATTATCTATTTCAGAGCTGTTCATGCTGTTCATATTGTATATTGTTTATACTGTAAACCAAATCCACCTACCTCATGTACATGACACCACACATAATACTTACATAATACACACCCACACTGTGTACATGTATGCTTGTATATGTATGTGCACCTGTATATCACATCCACCTCCGACATGTACATTGTTGAGAATATTTCTTAGGTGTCACAACAATATCATTTCAACATACATAATAATAACATTAATGGTAATAATAATTTTCTCCTGCATACTTTGCACTCTGCTCATTGTACTATTGTCTCAATCTGTCTGTTTTTGTTCATAGTGTGTATATATGTGTTCTCTATACTGTAGCCTGTGTTTGATTATTATTGTCTTATTGTATTATTGAATAAGTAAGCACATCGTGAGCATTGTACAGTCCGGAGTCAATTTCCTCGTATGTGTACACATACCTGGCAATAAAGCTGATTCTGATTCTGGTGTGGCCATTAAAATAAACAGAAAATATAAATGGCCAAACATCAGATGGCACGTAACCATGACAGCAGTGTTGCAGAAATGACTTTTAGCATGGGGGCGATAAAGAAACATTTAGAAAATCAATTTTAAGTGACTACTACTAACAGAAACATGTTCATCATATTGATAATCCTAATTAATACATGGTGCTTGTGTGGGGACAAAAAGTAAACAGAACATGCAGAGCTGCCACTGCCATCTTGACAAAGCGATCCGGTATGCTTTTGCTTCACGTGTTTGCGTATTTTGATGTGGCTTTAATATGGCTTTCTATTAGAGCTTAGTTAAGTTGAGTAGTTATGAAATTATCCAATAAGCATGCCACTTAGCATCATTTAGCAGCCATGAAAAGCGGACTGACAGTCAACATGCTCTTTTCTGTATTTTTAGAGCATCATGGGACAACTAACAAAGCTTCAGATGGACCAGATCTGCTTTTCCCCGATTGCTCCTGTCAATGAAAAAATCTGGGAAATAACAAAACAACGGTCTCATTTATTAACTTCAAAGTTAAGAAAAGATTTTCCATTAATACATTGCTGCAGTTTATCTGTCCCCTGATCACAGCTGCAGAGCTCCTGACACCCAAGTGGCATTCAAGAGAAGGCACATACTAACAACACAACTTACCATTACAGATGAAGCCAACTAGGAAAAGGTCGATAACTGACTATGTGACTATGTGCCAACTGATATGGAAAATACTGCGAATGGTTTCGTACCCACGTGCAGGGTACAAGTGTGAACTCTACTTCTTTTTATGCTGACACTGGTGTTGGTATTTATATCTTCATATGCACGTTTAGTTTGTTTTTCCTGTCGCAATGTGGGAAAAAAGGGGCAATCATCTGTCCTTCAGCTCTACTATTAGCAGCTTGTTATCACTGTCAGCACTCAACAGATACAATCTGCTGTGCACACTACGTGTAAGCTTGCTAGCAGCTGCAGCAGCTCACAGTTTCTATTAAAAATGCTAACAAAGCTGGTCATTTCTCAAGCATCACCACAGAATGTTTCCCCACATAACAGGACCCACAAGGTGCCGAAAAACTTGAGACCTTACCTTAATGGAAAGAGCGTAGAGGTGGTTGAGCATGACATGGTTGGGTTCCGGGAGTAATGCAGGGTCACACTGGATATGAAAAGAAACAGAAAAAATTGTTTTTTGTTTTTTATTTCCAGATTTCTTTTGTAGATCTTGCTTGTCAAATTTTATGTATGTGATTTATCGATTAGTGAGGGTGTGATTGTCTCAGGTGTTTGCAATTTGACTCATTTTTAATCAGTTGTAGGGAATGTAGTGATCGACCAACATATTTTTTTCCAGGCTGATCCCGATAATGATTATTATTAACCAATTAGACCGATGACATTTTTTATAAAATTTTTATCTTGGTGTCCACTCCAACACAAAATTGTGTTAAAAATAACAAGATTAAAGTTAATTGTCATGTTTAATCTTTATAAATAGTAAATTAAATGAATTAGAGATCCATCACAAAGATGGACTTGTTAACTATGAGTGATAAATAAACATAAAATCTTATTGGTTTTTGGTTGTTATTGGTTTACAAAGATTTGCATCTCAGCTACACAGGCTAGAGACAGAGAGGTTTTGTTTTAGCTTGTTTATAACAAACTAACCATTAGCCAAGCTAGCACATGTGCTTGTGTAAAACCAAAACACAGCTACGGTGGAGGAGACAGAGCAGATAAAAATATCGCTTTGTGCATGTTCCTGCTTATTGTACTGATGCAGTATCAGCCTTTTACTAGTACTGCTGGTTTTGCTGCACTTACTTACAGCAAGCGTAGTTATAGTTAACTGGTGTAATCTACACTGAACTCTGCTGAGAGAGAAGGAGAGGGGCTGCAGGGTGATGGCTCGCTCGTTCTACATTGGCTACTTCCTCACAATATTCAGTGTTCATAGGCTGTTACTCGTGACTTGTAATCAATCAGCTTGTACTGTGGGCAGGACATTGTACTCACCACTCTGTGGGCTCGAGCAGACTCAGAGAGCGGGTGCATCAGAGCCAAAGGCGCATTTTTTAATTTAATTAATTACAATCTGTTTTTAAAACGACCGATGCAGATTATTTGAAAAATGCTGAATATAGGCCACGATAATCGGCCAGACCAATTATTGGTCGACACGTAGTTTATGAAATGCTCACAGGGTCTATGAGAGAGAAATATTTTGACTATATTTCAAGTTAATGTGTTTTAACAATGTGAGAGTTACAGCACAAAATAAAGAACAAGTTCATTCTTTCAGAAAAATCCACAGTGGAAATAACTGAGTGGGAATAAGCCTCATTTAATTGCATTGCAGCCACTTACAGAAATTCCAGTGTCTTTGTTGAGGATGACCTGTAGTAGGTGAGGTGGGAGTATGGGTGGAGACTTAAACTTCTCTTCCTGTTTAGGAACATAGACATCCTGATGATATGGCCCGGGAGGAGAGCTGGAGAGGTCTAACGAAGGGAAAGGAGGAGAGGCAGAGCCAAGGTGGAATTAGTATGAATGAGTCAGAACATTTCCAGACCATTGTAGAAAAGATCATTGTGAGCACCAGAACCTGACTGAGAAACATTTGCAAGTGTTTTAAGTTGATTATGACTGATTAGAGCTCTTCTCAGCTCGACATTACTGTTTTAAAAATTCTAAAATTCTAATACATGTTGAGATACTGGAGATTTGATATCCATGAGCTGACAAGATATTAAGCGCTAATAAATAAAATAAAAATAGGGGGGTTGTCAGCACTTACCTGACATGTCGGAGCATTTCTGCGAGTCTACCATTAGGGCATCAAACACCTCAAAGTCCGTTTTCTTCACCTGGATGATATTGTTGACTGTCCCAAGCTGACTGGTTATAACTGGCTATGAAGAAACACGAGACGATTAAGTTCACAACTAAAGCTCAAAGTATAAACCAGCCAGCCGCAATATAACTTAAAAGGTAAATAATCACCAACGCATATGACGAAACAAACCCCTAAAGCAGACTACAGGTGAAAAGTCATTAAACTCCAGCTCTTGCTCTCAAAACTGGCCCTCACTGTACTATTTGTCAAGGTCACAGGACATGTGTTGAATTATTTGTGTTACTCAATTTCTACAGAGAAACAGAATAAAGCTATTAAAACAGATAAGGTCTCCGTCAGACAGCCAGAATTACAAACTCATAACCTACACTTGCGGTTATGTAACTTCTTACATAACTACTTTTACAGATACTGATGGTTAGCAGGAAGCTATAGAGGATATTTTGGTAGAAAATTCCCAGAAGAGGAGGCCTCTACATGAACTGTGGGGCAAAATCCCAAGAGCAATTTCTTTTCTAGTCGCACAGTGATCAAAGAGCTTGTCTGGAAAAAGGTCCGATACAAGTGTGAGAATAACTGCTGACCTCAGCTGGGTCGTGGGTCCACTGGCCATCCACGTAAAATTTGTACTGATGCTCCCCTTCGGGTAGATCGACAATGGCCACAAAGGTGTTCTGACTTTGACAAGAGAGAGCATTTGGCACAGAGATAAGTTAACACACAGTATTTCTCTTTGAATCTTCAACCTCATCAATCATATGTGTGCCCTCTAATTAGTGAGCTGAATTTAAACAAGTCAACTGTCAAGTTAACTGAATAAAGCCTTCTAGAATAAAAACCTTCTTACGAAGTGTAATTAGAGATATAGTGAAATTTCAGTTCACCTGTTTCATTCATATAACCAGCTGTTCCATGAAAAACAATCTTAACAGTTTTATTTGATTGTTATTAGCTTAAATGTTTTATGTTGTGTTAAATGTTTTATTGACAAAATGTCGGGCTACTCTGAAAAAACACACTATCCCAGAGTTCCCCTTCACCTTCTAATAAGGGGAATCTTGTTGGCCCAGTTGTTGAAGGATCCAGAGAGGTAGACCTCCTTGCCATCTCCAGTCCAGCGAAAGACTGTTGGTCGGTCTAAAGTTGGCCCTTTGTCGTCTGCTTCTAAGTCTTGCTGCCATGCAAGGAACTCCTCTTTCTCTAAAGGAGCCTAAAATACCCATATAAGATCCACCATTAATTTACCTAATGTACCAACAGAGGCCAGCAGATCAACTGTCTCTGAGACAGCAGCACAACTCACCTTCAGGTCTTCACCATGAAAAATATCTGCGTCCTCTGGGCTGTCCATCAGGATTTTCGGCCTCTCTCCCTCCTTGGTACCTCGGCTGTCCCTCCGCTGCGCCTTCTCCCCCTGGCCCATGGCAGCCCTCTCACTGCTTGTGTTCCCCATGGCTTTGTCTTCTTGTAGGCTAGTACAAGGTCACTGTGATTAGTCACAGTAAAGTTTTAAAGCCAAGCAGCAACTCAGAAAAAGCTGCTCGAGATCAGATTTTAAAAAAAGAAAAAAGGTCATTAATTATTAATAGCTGTTACTGGAATACTAGCAACAGTTACTTTTTAAGGCCTCGTGAGTCAAATGAGAAAGATAACCTTTTTAAACTCCTTGGGCGCTGAAGTGCCGGTCTAGAATGACTTACAATGACTGCAACAGCTGAATAAGTTAACTCAAATGTGCAAATAGCAAATTACAGGCAGCAGTGGGTCAGAAACATGCAGAAGGGCTTGACTTCACATCTGACAGCTGAATTTAGCAGTTCTTTACAGAAAACAAAAACATAATAATAAAACAATCCCAACAGTTGGAAACTAAGAGTGAAAAGGTATTTTTCAACACACCACCCGGGCGCCGGCACCATTATAGTTTAAGCATCTTGTGATTTTAGGCTTAAAATTATACTTACATAACAATTCTTTCAGCATGACACCCTCTATTAAAGGACCAGTGTTTTGTTTGACACCATATTTACTACATATCACATATTTGTTACATTACTACTAACCATTTTCAAAGTGTAACACTGTGTTTAAGTATTTGGAAATATTTCAGTAACAGCAGTAATTTCACTACAGTATAAAATTAAATTTGCAGAATAAGCCAATCTGCACTGCTAGCTGCATACACAAGCAATGATAACATAACCTTGACAAAATAAAAACAGATATAGCATTTACTGTAACGTTAATACATTATCTGTTTTCTGGATGTTTTAAGTGAATGAAAAGTGACATTGACAACGTCAGCCAGAGCTGTTTAAAATAGGTAAATTATCATCAGGCGATTATAGGTGTAGGTGTCACTAATACATAAACTCAGCTGAAGGTGATGCAAAATGGTGGCACAAAAGGTTTGCGAATATTCAGCGTCTGAGTCAGGTGTTGAGTGAGAGCTGGTTTTCAATAGCTCAAATACTACAGATTTTTCTGTTCAAATACATAAAAAGATCTTTAATTTTCCTCTCAGTGTCTGCTCATGAAAGTTAAATCCAGTGTTTACTGCAAAATCCCACTTTATAATAACTTGGGTAACTGTGACTATGAGTCGGGGTTTTTATGCTTTTTGAGCATTACTGTTGACGGCATTAAGATTGTAAGTGTTTATTTATTTCCATGGTGTTCCGACAATATTAGTGAGATTCTTATTACAAAATGGATGTGTATTATGCAGCGTAGTTATCTAGCATAACGGTACTGCAGTGCCACGCACGACGTCATGTCAACTTACTGATGTTGACATTAGCCAGAAGTAAGTTAGTGACCACTGGGGGGGGGCAAAGGCTAACGTTAGCGTTAGCACATCTTAAAACATGCTGTGCAAGAAAATAAACTCTATTTCTTAGTCTTGCGGGACTATAGCTTCATTCACATGCGCTGACTGGACGGCAGTTGATTTAGATTCAGCCAATGGTACTGTAATGAGTGACAATAAGAGGTAACGTTAAAGTTAACGTTACATGGTTTACTAAAGCTAACGTTAGTTAGCAGTTAGCATCAGTGGGTTGTGTAGCCCCGGCGTCCGGTTTATTCAAATAGAGCTTGTGGCTGCTACATAGGTGTGACACCAATGAACACACTGACTATAGAAACAGCGTGTTACCTGCGAAGCGTGTACCGTCGTAGCTGTCCGTGTTAGCTCATCAGACCCATTTCATCGGTGCAAAAAACAAAAACATTTGGTCACGCTAAACAAACCCGCCCCCTCGTTTGCGCAAGCGCAGTAGATCCAATATTACAAGATGCGATGTACTTTATCAAAAACTACTGAATAATTACACACAATTTCCCCCACGTGCGCTTATTGTCGTACAAACAGTTTGCATCTTGGCAATCGTGTAATATTATTTAGTCTCAGTCATATTTTAGTCAGCCGTCTGGAATGGGAGTTGTAATTGTAGATACTCAACACTAGATGGAAGCGTGAGTCAAGTAGCCTACAGTGACAATTGTACAGTAAGACCGGAGCCTTCTGTTCTGTATGCAGGTAGTGTGCTGATAAACGGGTGAGCCTTCATTTCTAATTTCTATAAAGTGCATTTTTCTGTAAAACTAGTGTACTCTAAGAAATATGTCTAAAATCCAACTGTTACAGATAGTGTCCATTTTAATTAAATAGGTGACCTTTGCAACTCTTTACAAAAAATGTCAACTGCAAAGACAATGCAGGCTATATCGTCTCTTATGTAGGCCTTCATATGGCATATTGCACCATAGACTATTGGTTATGAGAAAAGAGACTTTTATGTTGTGATCTGTTGCCACCGATTAATGATTCTTTCAGCTAAATGTAGGCTACAGCAGCTTTGTGCCATTCACCGTTCTTGGCATTTACCATGGGTCTGTTCAGCAATAGCCTCTGTCATGTGCAGTGAGTGCAGCTTGCCATTCCCACAAAAAGGTCTTTAGGTGGCCTTTGAACTATGGAGGTCCAGCTGTAACAATGCTTTATAAGGTTACCTTCAAAACTAAGGTCACACTTTGTTTCCTCCTGAATGATGTAATGCCTGATCCTAGGACAGTCCCAAATCCTCATACAGGGTTCCCACATTTAAGGACTTTTTAACTACCTTAAATTCAGGGGACCAAACATGGCATTGTTTGAGACACGGATACTGTTACTGTTAACTACTACAACTAACTACAACACTGAGAAGTTTTATAATGAGATAATTAACGGGCTTTACAGAAGCTCACAGACAACAAATAAAAAGAGAGAGAGAGAATTCTCAATTGTGCTGTAGTACAGTCATGGCTGACTGTGTGGTGGAACGTAGCCTATTTACTAATGGTAATAAATAGTACATAACTTACATAACTTAACTTAACTAGTAAATAACTTCCATTTCTATTCTTGCTTAAGAATATATATAAATTAAAGCACTTTTAATGGCCCATGTCTAGGACACATCTCATGTAGTGTAGCCATAATCAGTGTTATTAGTAACACCTGTACTGGACCAATTAAAATGTCTCCTGTTTGTCAGTATTCTTAAGTTGTATAATATTACAGTAGTTGTTTGGATTTATTTAAGGCTGTTACTGTTGCAATACAAGCTGAACATCTCATCATCAGCAATGTCTGTCTTACATGTTCTAACAATAGCATGATAGATACATTTTCTTTCCAGAGTCTTTTGATCTTTCATCTCCTGGAATACAGTTCTGTACGTTCTGTTACAGTATCTACTTTTAGCAGAGTCATTTTGAGCTGCAGCAAAAGCTGACAAAGTGTGGATTCATCTTTGTTTTGTCCCCATTCCACCAGTTCTCTTTTGTTCAAACTTCGACACAGATTTAATAGAACTAATGATGTTCACCCCCAAACATCCTCCAGATGCGGGGGGAGGGGGGTGAATGCTGGAGGCTTTGGCACATAATGAGGAGCTAAATAAAAAGTGTCCAGCAGAGATGTGTGAACTGATGGGAGGTTAGATTTCACTGGACTGTTTCAAAACAGAAGAATCTACATTTCACAAGGCCCTTTTATCTAGAATGTCACTGCAGACACAGACTATGGGCACAGTCACAGTTGATTGCGGTACCCAGATGTCAGTCCACACCAGGTGTTCAATTACAGAGATTTAATTTTTCCCTTTGCAGCCTTTACGCCTTTTAATACCCAGCATATATTGTTGGTTTCGCCTCAGATGGCTTCTGATCTGGGAGAAATTATTATTGACAAATGTGAAAACAATAAGACTTACACAATTTGCTTATCGTGCAGATAGAGTAGAAGAGAGATGTGTGCAACACTTTAAAACTCGAGAACCAGGCATGTTAGACGACTGTCCTGGAACCAGACAGGCTGTAGTTGGCTCTCGTCTGCTTCGGAAACTGAGTGGGCTCCAAGGAAAAAGTTGGCCTGGCTGGAGGAGGTGGGATGTGATGTTTGTGCTTGCATGCGGAGGTGGATTTAAACATGGATTGGAGAGATGGAGATGGAATGTTGTGGCGTGTTTTTAATGTGTTGAAAATCAGTTGGCAATGGTAGAATGAGGACTGAGGTGGCAGTGGGTAAACCCTGATACTGGATCATTTTGTTATTTTGAAAGCCGTCTTTACTTGTGTTTCAGCCAATGTGATTAGACCTCCTACTTTCTTTCTTCCTATCTGTCTGTCTATGCAGACGTACAGTATTTTTAAATGAAACTACTATATTATATACTGTAAAACTTCAGTTTAAAAAAACATGTCAGGTAGGTTCTCCATTCAGTGTTGTTTGACCAGAAACTGCATTTCAATCTGGAGTTGGTCCATCGGGCGCTGTACAGTGGCTACCCACTGCTCCCTTAGGGATGGGTTGAATGCAGAGGATGAATCTCGCTACATGTATGTGTTTGTGACAAATAAAGTACCTATACCTGTAAAAGCCTAGTCACAGTTAGATGCCTGTCCCTTTTACTAACCTGGTGAGTCTACTAGGGGGGTGACGAGATTTTGTGCCATGAGATCTTTCAATATTAAAATGTGATGATATTTCTTGTCAGGGAAAAAGCTTTTTTGCGAGATTCACACAACTGACACCTTTCACACACTGTCACGCCACACATCAGCTTTCTCACACAGTGAAAAACAAATGTATAACTGATAAAGTTGACTCGCTGTGATCTGCACCATGTCAGAGCCTTAGTGCATTATATTCTGTTATATTTTTATATATTTCAGTTGTCACGTGCCACCTGAATTTTGTGTTTCCCTCACATAAATAAAAACATTTCCACCATAAATTTAAGCAAAAAAGGCTGACATTGGTGCAAAAAAAGTCACCAGAATGCAGTAAATGAAGTGTTTAACCCTCATAATTTCTATGTAATTCGACATTAAAGATTCCTTAAAATATATAAAATCTCGTCTTGTCTCGTTCTTGTGAACCCAATTTTGTGGATCGTCTTATGAGTTAAGTGTATTCTCACTGCGCTAGTGACTACATGTTTTGACAAATAAACACAGGTCTCAATGAGAAGCCTGGTCTGATTTTATTTTTAGAAGTGCTTTTCATGGATAAAACCTCTGAAAGCTCACCCTGTCCCCCACTTGAGCGAGTTCTAAGCTGCTTAGATTGCACACAAAACAAATGTTTAAACTTTTGTCAGTGTGGACATGCTACACATCAGACATCGGTTAGATTCTCCACAGTTCAATCCTTCAGTTCATTTTATGGAACCAGTGAGCACCAATGTGTTCTTGAGGTTGGCCTAAATGGGCTGTCTCCTGGGGCTAGAACAAATGAATGATTCGTAATTGTTATGTTATCCAATAGCCTAATATTTAAACAAGTTGTATTGGTGCTGGTTAAAATAAACATTGTGATAGTAACCTCTTTGCTGAGCAATGGTTTTATGCAAAAGGAATTAAAGGCCTATCCCAAATATAGACAGGGGGGGTTCAGTGATTGAAGCCAATAAAAGCTCGGTCTATTAATTGAAGTTTACACTATGTTTTTATTATAAGACAACCTGAATGCCTTATATATGATATAACTTTACACTCTAAAGCCAAAAAGACTAAAGATAAAGAACAAAGTCTCATTATAGACCTACGTTGGCTAACAGACCTGCTGATGAACTCTGTGATGTGACTGATGTGTTAACATTTTACTGTGGCCCCATTCTGGCACCACTTCCCCAGAGCCATGACTACACTGCCACTGTTGTTTACCATTACTCATCCCTGCTGAGTGAAGCCATCACACAACAGCAGCCAGCCGCACCACAGCACCTCAGCCAGCTGCTGGCCCTGATACGCTCTCTGTAGGACAAGCCAGATAACCTTTATACTGAGCTCCTTTGGATTACACATGGGGGGCGATGACTCACAAAGTCACACTTTGACATCTGTGCATGCAACACACTTGGCACGCTTGTATTCATGCACTTCAATGAAAATGCGTTGTATTAAAGTGCAGACATTTTAACGTTAAATACATTTTATGTTATTCTGCATTTCTAATTGTAAACAAATTCCATAAAAAACAAATTTTGGATGTTAGTACATCTCTCCATGCTTTCTGACTCCCAAACCTTGTCTGTGGCCCCATGCTCATTGGTTCCTACAGAAGAAACCTTTGAAAACAAGTCACAAATATAAATTCCTTTTTTAAAAGGCTGTGTGAATTCTTCAGATTTCTGGACATTGTAGCTTTTATAAATTTTTGTGGGGGAATGTATTTAGAGGCGGGTTAACACACATTCAGTGTGGGACTGATTCCAAACCATAGTACCCATGATCATGGTAATGAAGGAAGATGTCGGCCAGAGCAACACTGTGTCTCAGTGATGTGTTTATGGTCTACGTATGGCACAGAAGAATAAGCTATATCCGACTTTGGCTATATGGACAATACTTGTTAGTAGGATTAATTTAATGTTGGTTTTGGTCTTTTAATGGGATCATTGCTCAATAATATAGAATATTGTGAAATGTATTCTTTAGCAGCAAGGCCTCTAGGTAAATCCTGAAAACATGGCATATACAGTACAGCAGTAATTTAAAAAACTCACACTGCTTGCTTGATCAATCAGTTGGCCTTCCATCTTGTCAAGATTTGCTATGGTCTACTAGAAGTTTAAATTTACTGGAACAGCTCTTCTGAATTGAGGGTTCCATGGACACCCTCTATCAAACTGAGTCATACACAATACTGCATCCTGATTACACATCTGTGTAAGAGAACTTCAAAATTGTTTCACCACGCTGGCATATTTGTTC